ACTCTAGGTACATGTCACATATGGTGCTACGCTATATTGTGTTCAACCATATAAATTTAAAGTTGTGCTGCAACTGTGTACAATGAATCAAAATGCATTCTGCTATCATATATCCCTAATTAAAGTAAAAAAGAATGAGTCTTCTTAGTTTCTAAATATATGTAAATTCAAACACAGTCTTAAAAGTGAGAATATTTTTTCTATTTTGAGTATTATTTCCCTGGGTGTATATGTTGATGCAGGCACAAAAGAGTGGACTTGAAGTTGGCATTGAATAATGGAATTAAAATGTGCAGAGACTGGAGTAGGTGTGCAACCTCTCTAGGAAATTGCAGGAAGGGAGATGGTAGAGTGGGAGAATGGCAAATAGTGTTTGAAGATAAGGAGTAGGTAGTAGATATTTTAAAAATCAGGCAAAGACCAGGGACTTCATCCTTGAAGCTGGCATTCCTAAAACTGTATTTGTATGCACTGGTGAAGGGGAAGATGAATTTAGTGATGCACAGAGGGTTTTTTTTTTAATTTTCATATGTTATATATTTCTTGTAGTAGAATTTAGGAAAATATGATTAACATATGGAATGTAAGTCCAAAATGTAGGTTAAATACAACAAGGGAAGAAAATAATAGCTAATATAGATGAGTATGATAAAAATTATAAAGCTGTTTCATGAAGCACAGGTGCTTTGGATGCATGGCTAAAGATAATATGGAAGCTTTATTCAAAAAATTGTCACATTTACTGGCCAAAAGGGTCAGAGATTGTGGAGTAAAATAAGTGCCCAAGTAACTGCAATTATGTTTAAAAGTTCATGTTCTTAGTAATAGTTCTGAACTGTTTTGCTGTTAAGATAAGTGAAGGACTCATTGCAGAGGTGTCATTAGGTCATAACAATAGGAAGGTATGGATGAATTAAAAAGTCACACAAGTGAGAGAGAGAGAAAAAAGAGTCATGATTAAATATGAGGATATTATTGGTCAGTTAAATTCAGGAAAATATTAATTAAAGTTCTGTCACATCTGGGAAAGTACAGGAAACAGTGCTGAAAAGTGATGAGCAGGTTCTTATGTATTAGAAATAAAAGCTTGTGTTTAATCCAACTTACTGTATTTTTGACATCTGATGAAAGTTGTACCCAGGGATTCATTGGACCCCGGGGTAGTGAAATCTAGAATGATTACATGATGTGTCTGAAAACAGATCACTGGATTTCATGCCCCAGACCTTGCACAAGATCCCTGCAAATAAATGGATCCCTGAAAGTCTCAATTTCCTCATCGATGATGAGACCATTGTGTTGATAATTGTAGGTATGGCTGGGTTTGAAAATTAAAGTAGGTCATTTTCACAAAGTGTTTTAGGATGCATGTAGTTAGTGAGCAGCAATGTGCTAGCCTTTGTGGTTACTGTGTAAGGCATGGACCTTAAAAGGAAGACTGACAGCAGGGACATAGCTTCATAAGCCTCTGACATAGTCCAGATGAGAACAAACAAAATTGTGAACTGGGACAGTGGCAGTAGCAACTGGAAAGAGGACAGTTACACAAGATTTTTCAGAGGCATAAGTGCCTTCATGATTCATTAGATGTGGGAGGCAGACACATGACTCTTTAGTGTTCACGCCTGGCTCGCTGGGGCAATGGTGCTGCTTTTGCCAGATATAGAATAGTCAGGGAGAGATGCTGGTTTGCAGGAGAAATCCTGGATCCAGAATTTGTTCTTATGTACTGACACTGAATTAAGGATCTTCTCATGGACTATCTGTCCACCCCCAAGGAAATATGTTTCTCAAGTGTAGTACAGATAAAACTGATAGTGAAGGAGGTGATCCAGGTGGTGAATGAAATGACTTTCAAGTAGCATTAAACTACCTGATGAGAAAATTGTTTCCTATGAAATGCTCCTTCTATCTTAATTATATCAAAGAGAATGTTTTACTTGGATACTAATTAGTTTGTGCTATATCTGTGATCTCTCTCTTTCTCTTACATTCAATATCTTTCATCTGGTCAACACAAATAGACACACTTGAAATTTGTCAGTTGGTTCTGGCTTTTCACTTATTGTCTTAATATAATAAAAAAGATTATTTTACTAAAACAATCAATGTAAAGAAAAAAGAAATGGCTAAATACAGAGATAAAGATAAACCTGACCATTGGTGCCTGGCCTTGTACCTGCCATGGTTGCCGGTAGCAACTCTGGTCTCTTTCCCCCCAGCATAGTTTCCCAGCATGCTATAAATAAACGCCATTACCTTCAGACATGGAGCTTTACCACCAGACTCTGGTGCTGTCAGCTCCAGGAATGTGTCTGATGTTCTTGACATTAGTTTGAGAGAAACCAGGTACATTCTGGCTTGGCTAACATCATTTCATCCTCACCATTCAATAAGCCCCTCCATCTGCCCCACATCACATGTAACCACTGGTCTTTCTGCTGCCCTTAGCCATTCTTCTGTCGGGAAGTCCCAAACAAATTATACCCTGTATAATTCTAGATCTGTCTTCCTCTTTGTTTGATCTCAGGACTCCTTGCAATCAGTTCGTTTACAACAGAGTCTTCTGATACACTAAGGAACAAGAAGTACAGTTACCACTTAGTGACTGGATTTTATTAAGCTTGAATGAATGAAAATCAGAAAACCCTGCAAAGAGCTATGTTGCATTTTAGGCAATATTTGTGTCCAGTTATAACAGAGGCTTCTTGAAGGGAGATACATTCTCTACAAGCCTAGAAGAAAATCACTTTATGATAATGACCTTTATTCAAAAGCATTATAACTTGGACTTCTGATAATTTCCACAAAACTTATAAATATGTATTCTTTATAGCTATTAACTAGTTATAGAGCACTAATGCAAAGTTAAAAATGGCATTAAAAATCAAACAAAATATCCAACAAAGACTCCCAGTGGTTACAAAATGAACTCTCATATGAGTCAATATCTGAGCTAGTTTTTAATTCATCCCTTTCTTTTTATAGTGGTCATTGAAATAGTGTACAAAATATAAACCAATAAGAACAAGGAGCGGCAAAAAAGAACAAATGTAGAGCCTACCGATAATAGTAAAATTCATAAAGAAGTTGATGAATTCTGGTAAGTGAAGATACTCAGTATCAAATCGAGTATGTTTTCAATACTGTTTCATTGTTATTTCCTCAGAAGGATGAACAGCCTTGTGGGAGCTTGGCAATTCTCTTTGCTAAACTTACAATAAGGGGATAATTTTTTCCTGGCATTATCTCCTAATTATCAGTAAATGTCCTCTATCACTCTCCATAGGAACATGGAGAGGAGAGTCACACTGAACCCTATGAAGTAAAGCCAACACTTCTGCTTCTGTCATTTGGTCTTAGTGCTACTCTGGGCCCCAAATGACTAAACAAAAAAACGTACTTGTCATGAGTTTGTGGGTTCTGTTTTAGGGTACTAGAATAATTATAGAAATACAAATATACAGCATTCTAGAAGCACAGAGGATTGGAGATTATTTTTGCACTTCCTTTCACAGATGGAAGACTACAGCTCTAAGGCAATCCTGAACCTCTTTTTTAATTTGTTTTTCTAAACCAAAGGAAAGATTGTTCTAGTACTTGATGGCCAGGATTTCCTGTGAATAAGGGAACAGAAGGCCACCTTTCAAAAATATACTCAAGCATTACTTGACCTTTCTGCTTCTTTTTTTTTTTTTTCAGAATAAGAGCCTTGAGAAGAAACTTGCAAATGCTGAAAACAGTGTCAGGACCAAAAAACTCTATGATTTATAGAATAGTATTTTTAAAAGCAGAATCTTGAATTTTTATCTTTATATAGGCCCTAAATTTTCTTTTCTCTATACAATAGACCAATGTCTATTCCAACTTAGCCCAAAAATATGTCCTGTGAATTCTAGAAAAAACAGGTATGTATGAACAAATCCATAGAAATCTGTTAACCTCATGGAAATATGTTTCTAATGACAAGCCTTAAGTAGACAATAATTTGAGAATACAATGTATTTGAAATCGTGACCTATTTAAATTTACATAAGCTTAAAAGGAATAATTGGAGTCATCTGCATGGAGGATACATTCAGTATTTTAGAGTTCCTACTAAACACACAGGAGAAAGTTCTTGTTTAGAAATACATTTAACCCACACCACTTGGCATTTCAAAACAAATAAATAATAACATTATAAATTATGAGATTTCATGTAAAAACATTGACTTTAGCTTCTATTGAAAAATCTAAAGTGCTGACCACATTATTCCTCATCCATACCTGATAAGCATAATTAGTTTTGGTAACACTTACTATTGATTGAATTCTAAGTGCCAGGTAGGTATTATTCCATTATTCTAAGCATTTCACTTTTTTTTTATACAGAGAATCCCTGAGAGTGGTTCTTTTTATCCACCTTTGATATTTGGGTACTTGGGAAAGTTGATCCCTTAGAAATTCAATAAATTTGCTCAGCATCTATAGCTCATAACTGATGGAGTTGGGATTTGAGACCAGACTTGATAATACCCAAAGCTTGGTTTATTTCCACTGATAAAGCCAGTTTGAAATATTAAATTATTGAATGGAGAATGAGTCTATATCCACTACAGTCATTTTTCTGCATTTGTGGAATGTACGTTATCTCTGTATGATTATTTCAAATATTCCTCTTTCAATATATTAGAAAACATATTTCCTAAAAGAAACAATAAATTTACACCTAATAAATATTTTCTTTTTAAAAATAATTGCTATTCACTTTTGCTTAAACAAATTAGTAAATAATTTACTAATCCAATTTGAATCCAATTTGCTTTAAATTGATAGAATACAGTTAGGTTTATCTATTCTACTAGAAAAGCAATTATAATTTTCTCTAGGAAATTAAAACACTTCATTAATTTTCTGAATATCATTTGTAGACAGACATTGAAAATACTTTCAAACCATATATATCAGAATTTTAACTCCAGAAGGGTCATTTAAAATTCTTTTCAAGTGGGTCTTACCAGAAGTTGTCTTCACTACTTCAGTGGTATTTCTCAATCCAACAAATGAAAACTGATAAAGCCTCCAGGATCTTGTGTCACCCACTTCCACAGAACTACGCTTCCACTGATAGACAATTTCTTCACGTGGGTAGCCATCTACCGTGAGATAGAAAAGCTCATGTTAAAAATGATGATAAATGATGATTAAATGAACATATGTAGCAACAACTGTCAATGAAAAAGGTTTTATAATGGAATTTTTTTGGTTTGGAGAGAGAATTTGTTGGGAGAGCTCTTGTCTATCATTTGCAAGGCCCTGGGTTTGATGTTCAGCACTATAAGTAAGTATACAAAAATTCATCCATAATCATTTTTTTATTATACCTAACATGTCTAACTGGCAGACCAAAAATGAGTAGTAGATAAGAGACCTAATATAGATACTGAACTAAAGTAAGTCAAACATTTAGGGAAACTGAGGTTTGCTTGCTTGGGTTTAGGTACCTGTGAAGTTTATGAAAACTTCATCTGGTTTAGGTTTGTTATGAAGCTTCGTGGAACTTTATTATCTGGTAAAAATAACAGTTAATAAGAAGTCATATTGAGTTTAACTGTGTCAGGGTGCATACTAAGCATTTTACCTATGTTATACCAATAAAACAGTAATTCTGTGTGGTAGGTCTTAACTAGCAATGTGCTGCAACATTCTTTTCCTGAGTCCCAGCAAACATTGCCAATTCATTAAAACTTTGAACTCTAGTGAAACCTATCTGTAGTTTCTGATAAAATAGATCAATTGTTTTTTAGAAACTGCCTAATTGAGACAAACTGGGATTAAACTAAAAGCCTGTCAAAATCTTCAAACTCAGAGGCATAGCGTCATGCCATTTTGCAATTCTTTGCAATTCTCCCATTTGATTGACATTGCAACCAGAAAAACTATACATGAGATGGGATACAGAATGCAGAAGGACTACACTTACAACTGGAGAACTCCAGGGGACAGGAGTGTTCATCCATCGGGAAATTGTGCAACTGTAACTGGCACTCAGCATCAATTGTCAGTCTAAACAGAAAGATATTAAAAATAAATAGAAAGATTTTTTAAATGCACATGAGCATGATTTCTAGAGTGTATCTCACATCCCGATCCATAACACAAAATGATCCATAACACTAAGTGCAGTCAAAAATTAAGAGACTAAATGTGTGTGCCATTTTGCAGACCAAAGCTTAGCCTCTCATTCGCCTCAACTCCATTTATTCAAAATTTGTGATCACTTAAGTTTTGTGTTTTGTTTATTTTTTTATTTTTTATTTTTGCAAATTAATTGCACACATGAGATTGCTCAGTGAATATATTTAACTTATTTAACAGAACAAACTGTTTTAAGAACTTAAGCTCATTTACTCTTTGCATATAAAAGAATGCTGAGAATTCTCAGATCTTATCTGCTAATTAAAACAGGATGTTCTGTTAGTAAGTGCTTGTCAGCTGTTAGCTTTAAATTGCTATAGGTAAGTTTAAAAATTACTGTGTTTCACAATGGACTTTTATGCATTTTTACAATAAAGCACTATGAATTCATTAAATAGGATGTTAAAAGAGAAGAGGAATATCAAATCATAACCAATCCATATTGAATACATATACACAGACATATTAGAAAAATGTTTGCCAGTGAGTATGAATTAGTTTGTATCTGGAGGGTCTATTAATGTATACAGACTTTTAGTCTAAAGTCCTAGACTGGGACTCCAGGAGGAAGAAGATTTAAAGGAGCCCAGATGTTTTGACCACCTTTTAAGAACTGTGAATATAATCTACAATTGTATTGGTGGTGGGCTGACAATTTTTAAAGTTTCATATTTATTAATTCTTTTATTTAAATATATATAAAAATCAATGTTTAAGTTGATGTTAATGTTTAAGTTATGTTTTTATAAAAATTATTTTAAATATTTCTCAAATTGCATAAATTTTAATTGGAGAGACTGATCATTCAGTGTTGTAATAGAGCAATTACTAATCTTTAAATATATTTGAAATTGTCTAAGAAGAGCTGGATAAAGTGAATTGTTTCCTCATTTGATAAATGTGCCTTAATTGCGCTTGAACTTGTCCAAAATCACATAACTAGTGACACGGTTAATATTTGGGCTTAGGTTTATCAGTCTTTAGAGATGGAGGTTTGAATCATTGCAACTCCATAATTACATGTCATTCAAATAAAAGACTGTTTTATTCATAATTGAATTTATTCTTAAATTTGATACTTTATTAGTATTATCTCTCCAAATTAAACCTGAATTATTAAAGTTGAAAATGATACAGATTGCAGATACACAGAAACAGACATATGCATGTGCACATACTCTCACCCCCTGCACACACAGCTCATTATAGATAAGCAACCAGAATAAAATCATTTCTATATATAGACTGGCAATGATGCAAGCCTTAATTGAATCTTATGAGTGACATATTGAGGCAGCTTTTATAATTAACTATTGTATGATTTCTCAAATTAATAAGTCAAAGAATTAGTATAATGTTATGAGAATGATAAAGAGACTTGAGACAGTGTGACTGACTTCATAGTTCAAAAGTTAGACTAAGTTCTAATTTATTGGACCAGGCTTTGATTTTCACTAGTTTCTAATTCCAGTTATTACCTTATCTTTAATTTAACAAAACCCATGATGAATGAATTTAAAATAGATACAATGAATTTCCTTTGCAGTTGTAGTCATTTTTCCTTGATTTGATCTAACTCAAAGCCTTTAGGCTTTGGAACTATTTTGAAGTATTCATTTTGTAAATTGAATATTACATAAGGCATAAAAATATGTATCACAAGTGACATGAATCATTTTGAAGTTAGATGTTCTAGGATACTAATATGTAAAAGAATCATATTGTTCCAGTTCTTTTACTGAAAGTATATATAAAAATATTTTAACATCTGCTGTATTTACTATTTATGACTCAATATTAAGCTTTTTATGTATTACCCCTCTTTATAACAATTCTGTAAGGTAAGAATATTTATCTGTACTTTATAGACAATCTGGAATGAAAGGTACAAGTTTGCACAACTGTAGCAGAGGTGGGGGTGGGGTAGCATAGTGCAGTGACTGCTGGTGGTCACAGTAACTTCCACCAGTTCTCACACAATTCATCTAAATAAAAGTGTAACCTAGTAAAAAAACATCTTGCTTACTCTGCACACAAATCTTTGAGATGTCTTCTAGAACCAAGAATCTTTTTATCATATAGGTATCTCCAAGTTCCCATAGATAGAATTTCTGAAGAGTTGCCCAGTTCAAACAGTAAACAAGACAGAGAGCCAGATCAATCTGACTCTTTAGTATATGTACTATTTTACTATTTAATAATGTACTCTCACTAGTGAGGAACTTCAGTGTAATAATATTTTAAATGCCTGTGAGTACAAAGTGAACTAAGATGATGACATAAAGTAATTTACATAGAAAACTTTCCAAATATTATGTAATCCTAAATTCAGAAGATATAAGATGGCTTCTTCAACTCTTCCAAAAGATGCCTAATCCTAAACTAGATAATAAATTATGTCACACAAACTTGGCAATGTCATAGGGAAGAGGAACAGATGGAAGATAATAAATTCTAAGTGCTTGCCATTGTTCAGCTAAAAGAAAAACAATGTGTGGAGGCTCCCACATCAAATCTTCTCCTTTAGCAATGATTTCCTTAGAAATGAGGACATATTCAAACACAAGAAGTGGTGGTCCCCAAGATAACTACTTTAGTTTCTATCTTCTAAATTAGCAGGACTCACATCCAAAACATCAAGAATGGTATAAAAGTCAGAAGATCTCATACAGGTAAGAGACATTTCATACCATTTCATACATTTCAGTTGTAAGAAAACAGTGTACTTACATTATTAACAGAAAATTAGTTCTGCCTATGATTAGAACCTTAATGAAGATTATTGATAACAGATAGAAAAACTTGGTGATGTTCTATGCTATTTTCATCAGATACCCCAACCCTCATATGGGCTGGAAATTTTATTTTTTCTTTCGTTAAGATAGTGTGGTAGATTTTTGTTATATCCCTAGTGATTACTGGGCTTCTTTTCCAAAAGAATACCTTAGGGTGTAGAGCACTCGACCATCATTCCAAATTCTCAGCATCCTATTAGGAGTGGTTATCCAGTGTGCATCAGCTTTTTTGGAGTTTCTGAAGAAAGTATCTGGGATCCAGATTTTCCCCACCATGTTGCTATTCAATCGGAGGACTTTAATGGTACTGTTAAATTTCAGGCGTCTGTCATACCATGTTTGGGCAAAAAATATATCAATTGTATACTCCTGTTTTAAAGAGAAAGATAGATAACACAGAACATGTTAATATAATAAAATATATTTTGCATATTTTATTCTTGCACATATTGACAATATGAAGGAAAGTACTTGGCTTTGAATACTCCAAGAGAAAGCAAGAGCTTTGTTTACAAGGCCATTGCCTCGCTTATCTTTTGCAAGCAGTTTTATATTTTTATTTTTTAAAAAGACATTTATAAATATATTCTGACAAAAGTTCAGAGCCCTGACATCATTCCTTGCTTCCCATGTCTAGACGACAGAGTTTGCAGTGCCAGCTAATTCTTTGCTGTGGAAAACTGACCCATGCATCATAGTGTGTTTAGCAGCATTCTTTACTTTTATATTCTAGACAGCAGCAGCAACCCCTCCACTCCATTGTAACTCCAGCAAGTCATGACACCAAAAATGACCTCCAGACATCGCCAAATATCTCCTAAGAAACAAAACTTACTAGGTTCAGAATCATTATTGTAGAGTGAAACAAAGTCTAGAATATCCAAACAGTACTAAACTGGAGCTTCAGATACCTCATAATAAAATGGAGATTCTAAGAAATCTAATGAGTCAGGTCCTGTCAACATAGAAAAAGTTAATGCACATGAAGTGCTTCACACATGCATGGCAGACAGCAAACAATCAATAAAAAGTAACTCATTTTTTTTTCACTATTTATTATAGCTGCTTTTGCTTTTTCTAAAGAAGATGAAATTAATGAAATAAAAATCATTTCTAATATTGCACTAATCTCTATCACAAAGCCTATTCTTAAATGCCTATAATGATTCCCCTCAAGCATATGTCACTAAACCAGAAAAATCATTAACTTCAGTCAAAGAAAAACAAAGGTGCTGTGGAATTCAGACCATTAGGCCTGGAGTCACAATACTCAAGTTCCAGTGGGACTGTCACATTTAGTGGAAGTCTTTGTGGAAAACCCTTTACTCCCTGGGCCTCATTTCCCTCATTTTCACAAACTAGCAATCAATTCAATACATGCTTAGGCCCCTGCAGCTCTGTAATGCTATGATGCTGTACTTCTCAACTTTATCACCACCATTGCCACCATCCAGCCCTTAATCACAAGGCCGCTCTCCTTTTATTCTTGTTTTCTTGTTTATTCCATTGGGTACTTATTTGGTGTTAGTCCTCTGGCTAAATACTTTTCATGCAACATCTCATCTAATAAACTACCTATGTGTAAATACAACAAATAATAAACTATTATTACCATAAACTACAGATTGAATTATTTGATATTGGCATCATTCCCAATAATGAACCCTAATTAAGTCTCACAATTTTTTGTAACTTGATTTTAATTATGTCTATGATGGAAAAATTAAAGAAAGTAGAAACAGCTTAGTATTCTTAGACGGTCAGAGATAAGGAAAAAAGTCACCCACATTCCCCAGCCCAGTCCCTAACACTCTGTTTTACGTTAAACACAATGAACCAGGGAAATCATTGATTTGTTAGAGAATATGCACTGCCAGATGTGCTTATTTTACAATATCTACACTGTTTTGTGTCTTTTCCTGTACCAAAATTTTGGATATATTTTGACCAAAATAGAAAACAAACCCCAAAATAAAAAATCCCACAAAAAATCAAACAGAACTGAAAACATCTGAGTTTTAACACCAGCATTTTAGAAACTGTGACCTTGGGTCAGTTCTGGAGACTCTAATTCCTAAACAAAACAAAGATTCTAAGTTTAAATAAACTGCCTACACTGATACCTATAGATTCCCATTATTAAATATTTAAAATTTATACCAGAAACTAAGGATTTTGAGAATTTTATTTGTAAAAAATGTAACATGTTAAAATGAATGGTTCATGGTGAAGTAAGCAATGGAATTTGTATGGGCTATGCAGGGGTGCCCTATAGTTTCATCACAGAATGTTGTTATTGCTAGCTTGGTAAACACTTTTTAAAATGTGCCAATATCACACTAGATTATATTATTATTTAAATAATATTACATATTATCATAACTTGTTGACCCCATTCTTTATACTATATACTCAGCATACTTTCTCATTTCAGATTTGGGTGGAAAATTTTATTGAAGAACAAAGGTACATTCATTATTATAACTAATGAACTATTTTCTCTGAAAAAGGTTTCTAATTTGATATAAACTCTGTCATCCCCACAACATCAATTTTCTAAAAAATAGTGGAATACTCTATTTTATTTTCTTGTAATTAGCAATTGTCAAGTATACATACAGTAGCTGAATTATAATATTGTAACATTTTATAAAAAGTAATTTTCTATTACATTTAATTTTTATAACAAAAAGTCCTCAATATTTACCATCAAATTACAAGAGAAAAAAACAAATCTGAAAGATTTTATTTCTCTTCCAAAATGTTGAACTTAATCGTTGTAAAAAGTTTTTATTGGTGCGTTATAATTATACATAATTAGTTGGATTCATTATGCCAAAATTCACATATGCACATAATGTAATTTGATCAGCCTCATTCCACAGTAACTTAGCTTTCCTTCCCTCCTCGATCCCTCAGATCTCCTTTCTTTACTGATCTCCTTTTTCTTCTTCTTCTTCTTCTTCTTCTTCTTATTATTATTATTATTATTATTATTATTTTTTAATTAATGCATTTTCTATATATGGGTTTTTTGTGCTGTATTTTTGCATGTGCATAGCATAATTCTCTTCCCCAGTATTTCCTCATACCCCCTTACTCCCTATCTATCCCTGTCCTTTGTTCTATTATTTTCTCTTCAATTTTTTTTTTGACATTTCAACCTTCCTCCTTCTTTTTCCTTTCTTTCCCTCCCTTTTTCTAGCTTTCATATATGAAAGAAAATATTCAACTCTTGACTTTCTCAGTCTGACTTATTTCACTTTCTTTCATTATTTATATTTATAAATATGTGTGTGTATGTATATATATATATATATATATATATATATATATATATATATATATACACGTCATCCCCACAACATCAATTTTCTAAAAAATATGGAATACTCTATATGTATATGTATATATATACATACACACACATATATTGGTTGTAGATGGACACAATATCTTTATTTTATTTTTATGTGGTGGTGAAGTTTGAACCCAGTGCCTCACGTGTGGTAGGCAAATTGAACCCAGTGCCTCACGTGTGCTAGGCAAGCACTCTACCACTCAGCCACAACCCCAGCCCTTCACTCTCCTCTTGAGTTGAAATACATATCCTCTTTTCTGTTTGGCTTCCTCCATTTGTGTATTTAGAAATTCAATGAGACCATAACCCATTAAACCTAATCTTCTGTATTGACATGCTCCTTGTTACTTCCATGCTAACGAAATAGACAATTTTAATATGAAACTCACCATATTGATAGCATTCACTGGGCCAATGCTATTAACGTACATGTCTGTGTGAATTAATGTTGGTTTAACTGTAATGAGAAACACAGAGATATATACAGATGGAGAGGTACAAAATTTTATCATTTTAGTCTTTATTTTCTAGAATAGACTCATTTAGCTACATTAGAAGTATTTTATTCACAACTAATTTAGTACCAGTTACTAGTTCAATACCTTTGAATAACAACTATGTTTTCAAAGGAATATCTCCTTTTGTGGATGTAAATGCAATAAACAAGCATAGTAGAGTTTTGAAACTGATTATCCTTTTGATACTATATAAAAATGGAGAAATCAAAAGATACTGTTCGAAGCTTATTTTCATTTTTTTTTTCTCAGACAGGTTGAGTTTTTCCATCTTACCTTGAAGCTCTGTGATCTACTTTCATATCTTAACCTGACTTTACCCATGTAGAAAATAATTAGTTAGTAACTCAAGGAAAAAAAAACTGCATTAGAAACATGAGGTAGATATAAAGAGCCACCAGTAATATGAATTGTTTTTGAAACATTTCTCCCTGCTGATTCATTTTATGACCACTTTATCCTCACACACCTCTAGCCAACCCCAAATCAATCTCCCTCAGTGAATTATCGCATGCTGTAACTACACAGAAAAGATGGGGAAACCATATGGAAGCCCATTATAAACCTATTTATCAGTGAAGACTGGTATAAAAATCTATAATATAATATCCATGACCAAATACGGGTGCTCCATTTTCATTTAGCATTTAATGAACAAAGATTCCTAATAGCATTCTGGGCTTTGATTCAACAAAGTACATTTTTTCTTATCTTTATTCATTTTCCCAGAAAAACTATGCCAGACTCCATAGTGGATGGAATTCCTCAGGCATATTGGTATGTGCAGTCTGACCTTCATCTCAGTGATGTTGTTCCTCTACCTCTAGATTCTTGACCAGCCTTGCTCTGGGTAATGATATATAGGCAAAAGTTTATTTGCCAGTTCTAAGCCTAAGCATTAAATATTGCGAGTTTCTCATTTGCTCTATTCTATTGCCTTGAAAAGGATTCTCCTAACTAGTATACTAGTTCCAAGAGTAGAATGAAAGATGCTTAGAGCACCTCTGCCCTCTGCCCCATATGAGCAGCCTCAGCCTGGTTTGGGCCAAGTTAGTTTATCCCTGGGTACAGTGTTAAAGAAATGCTTTCTGTCGTTGGCCAAGTAATTTGGTCCTTGTTTGTTACATAGCAGCAGGTTAACCAGTGTATCCTTTCTAATTTTTTCTTATTTTTTGATAGTATTTCATAAGAAGTTGTCACTATTTTTTTTTACAGCTTTTGTCCCGAATAACTAAGAAAATTTGAATTTCTGGTCCTCAAGCTTCACTTGAAAATCATATTTTTTTTTCGTGTAGAACTGATCAATACCCTTCCGACCCAGTCATGAATGCTATTTACATTCTCTATTTTTTATAACATAGAAGTATAATTTAAAATTTTCTGGCTCTTGAAATATGTCCCTGCTTTTCTTCTGATAAGGTGGACACATTCAGGTGGTCCTCTCAGAGAGGCTTCATCATACCCCCTATGTCAGGTCGAAGTTTGTTGTCATATCCTTCCAGCAGGTTGTTTAAGATGACAGTGACATCGCCTTCAGGAACTTTAGGGGTCAAGACCCAGGTTTTGTTAGAAGCATAGTCTTCATAGTCGTCATCGGATTTTTGACTGGTAAAGCTAAGTAAAAAAAAAATATTGGTCAAGAAACAAATTAGGTGTGAGTTGACTTTTACCAAAAAATACTGATGGTGAAGGAAAAATGAAGCAAGTTTACAGGAATGTGGAAAACAAACACAAAATATCCACCTGATGTTGAATCCAACTGATCAAACTGTACAGATGGGGATTAAAATGTATTAAAGCATCTCTCCAGTTTTCCAGGGTGCCCTGCCCTACCATCTATGAATACACCATGAGTTATCATTTATTTCTGCCTTTCCCATGTTTGACGTTCTTCCTACCCACCTGCCCAGCCTCAGGAAGGACTTATTAAAAAAAAAATTTGTGAATGTGATGCTTAAATTATCATAATGTAGTCTAAGAATTCAAGCACAATGTCTACTTCCTCCTCTTTTAGAAGGAACCTATTCATGAAAGTAAGAGAGTGATAATTAGATCCACTCCCACAGACCGCCAGACATTCTCCCCTCTCAATTGAACTACTAGGGAGAACTTTGTCTTGCTGCGTCTTCTGCCCCCAGGATGTGTGCATTTGTATTTTCCCCCCTTGCTTGTACTGAAGGCATGGGAAGTTCATTCATCTTTGATTGTTAAGAACCTGGCACTATGAAGAAAAAATGCAGTTGCAGACTTTAAGTCACCATTAATTTCTGCAAACATTTCTGAGCTGGAATTTCAGACAGTGGTTGATGTAGTGCAATCATATAAATAAACACCTGTTTTGACTGATAGTCATATACTATTCCTGTAATTCAGTCTTAAATGACTAAAATCTGACAGAACTCCCGCAACCCTGCGTCACACACGTACACACTTGAGATAGAAGCTAAGTGTGGATTTGGAAGGTGAGTGGACTTCCCAGAGCTTACTTCTTCCCCTGCCCTAAGTTCCAACACCCACCTCTGCCACACATAAGATGATTATATTTGTCTAATCTAGGAAAAATAGGAACCCTTGTAAAAGCTGACATTTTGTTTTTAGGAGCACTCAGTGAATATTTTTTGGACAAAATTTAAAAAGAAAAAAAATACAAAATTTCCCACCCTATATCCAATTTCAGTTTATATTCCTGAATATGTGGATATATGGTCTAGAGTAGGTTTTTTTTTTAATGTCAGATATCAAATTGCCACATTACCCTGAATATCTATATTCTCAAACCATATTTGTTATCTTTTCTCAATCACCCACAGTTTTAAAACATTCACACACACACAATATTTAGATTAATAAATATTGGAGAAAATGGTGATTATGTGAATAATGTGGCTTGAGGATAAGGACTGAAGATGAAATTTTTAGAGCAATCACTAGTATATCTCAATTTATTAAGCAAGTACTGTAACCTCCTCTTTCATTGTGTTTTAAAGTTTTAGGAAGCATTATAAAAATACATGTGCAAAACGCCTAAAATAGTCAGCATTTTACATCTTACACTTCAGCGAGCACAGAAACTTTAAACAAGCATTAATTTCATAGTGTCCATAGTGGGTAGGATGGGCTGGGCAATGTTTCAACCAGCTCTCAAAGAGGAAGGCCTCTTGTGGGCATTGAGACCAGTCCTCTGCTAGGAAATCCCCTCTAAGGACTCAATTCTTCATTTTTCCAGGGCGTTGTTAAATTCTGTGTAATAGAACTATAATCCTGTGACCCAAATCTTACTAGCATAGGGGAGGAACAGCTCTCTGGCAAAGAAAATTTTAAGTTCTTTTAACTCAGAGGCCCATCTGCTGTCACCATGGTCTGCTTTCTGGATTCATTCATATGTCTGTCACTTACTGTTTAATGACCTGAGACAAGTTACTTTAGCCTTGATAAGCCTCAAAACTCTCATTTTTTAAAATGTAGGAAATACTAGTATTCAGCTCATAGTCTTATGTAAGATTAAGATAATGCTTATTAAGTATGTAGCACAACGCCTGACACAGCAATTAGGCCCAATATCACTGTCATTATAGAGTGACCACTGCTGATTCATAACAACAGCTCTGGAATCTGATTCTAAAGATGCTACTTCAAGGCTTTTATATAATATGGTTCAGAAGAACTAAAAACAGATGTTTTTTCAGGAAGAAAAATAATGAGCCACTGTATTATAAATAAATGATGTTTTTCTTCTCTACGGCTCTCTCTCAGCTGAGAGCTAAATTAATGGGACTGGTGCGTAATCTGGAATTAGTTCCTAATTTGTCTTTAAAAAATATGGTCCTTTTTCAAGGCTGGCTGTTTCTTTCTATGGCCTCTGCTGGAGGTAAGAACCCCTGTGTTCACAGGTGGGCTATCTGGGGATAATGACCATTAGGTGAGACATTCTGGGGTATTGTCAACTCCTTGAGGATATCCCAGAAGAAAGAGACTAACAATGACTCAGGTCCATCTGACCCTTGTGTGGGATGAGAGTAAATACACATTTGAACTTCTAGTAAAAGGCACTTCTTTAAATGCAACAGCATTTAGAGATTATTACTCCTCCTGGTGCCCTTTAGTTTAAAATGATATTCTTAAAGAGGGAAAGAAGTGAAATTGAAATTACTCTCAAATTAAAAACCCATAATACAGAAAGGTTTTATTTTTGGTCATCTGAGTGATAATGTCTGAGTGTCAGTGCCAAGAAAAGCTTTTGGGCTTCTCATTTCTGGAAAGTTTCAAAACATTGTTACAAAGCCATCTGTCCAGAAGACTTGGACCACCAGCAACAGTATCCCCTGGGAGCTTTGTAGAAATGCAGAACCCTGGGATCCACCCAGATCCTCAAATCAGAATCTTTATTTTAACAAATTGTAGAAGAGATTCATATACATATTAAATATGAGAATGTTAGTCCTAGTGTATGTGTGCATGTGTGTGTGTGCATATGCGTGCTAGAATGAACTTTTAAAAATAGATTCCCAGATTCCTATCATAAAGGGTTATTTAAATCTGAGTCTCTATGTTGTAAATTGGATTATTCATTTTTTTATTTCTGTCTTTACAGTTTCACATATGATTATAAACATGAACTCATCTTCAAACTGATAAAACATTTTATCTAGGATTAAAAGAGGTGTATAAGAAGACAAAACTTGATTGACATTGTTCATTGAGAGTTCTTACAATTACATAGAAGATTCTGACTCTAAATTTTGGTACAGCTTGTGAATGTTTGTCACTGAGAAGATTAATCACACATTTTTCTGGAATTTTTACATTTTCATCTAAGGATTTCATATTCCCATAGACTTAATATAGCTTTAAGTTTGATAGGGGGAAAAGCCTAATTATTACACTCTTAAGATAGTAAAACTGAAAAAAAATTGATAAGAAATAAGTACAGTTGTCTTTTTTATTGATATATCTTTAAATTCGTTGATATTACATGCATCACAAAGACAATGTGTACCTTTCTGTAACATACATAGATGAGATCATTGAATTAAAAAAGTAAACAAAAGCTCATTTAGTTTTACACTTCAAGTATTTTTAAATCCCTAGTGTTTCACTCTTTCATAACACTAATTTCACCACTGTATTATTGATATGATTTTGGTTAACATTTATTTTATAGATATAGTGAATCATATGCACAGTATTTTTAAATGTCAATCTATATCTCCCAAGATATATGTTCCATAAAATGATAAATTTTAATCTTTTCTTTGAAAATATTTCTGTACATTTTGGCTTTTTGCTCCATTAATGTACCCTTTAAATTTTGAATACCCCCTGCTTATATCTCATAAATCTCCACTCTTTGCTTTAGCCACATTCCAGGGGTGTCCCCTGCTCCTCAGGCTCCTTGTGAGGCTATCCCATAGGAATTCCACACTCCAAAGCATCATTAACAAGGAAGATCTTCCTCCTCATACCGGCATGCTACCCTGGAGTTCCAGAAATCAGGCCCAACTGCATGGCTTTGTATATGCCGTCCTCTGCCTACAGTCCTCGCTTAATTCCCCCCTCTACCTAATACTCACCATAGCTTATTTCACCTTTTAAATTTCAATCCAAACATCATCTTCTCACCCTGGCCATGCCTGGATGACTTTTCTACATTAGTTGCTCTCTGCACTTTTTATATGCTATAAACAGGAAATTGATGGCTTCATAGTACTGATCACAATCTGCATTTTTTTGCTTTGCCTATTAATTGTCTCCATTACTAAACTATAAAATTCCTTGAGCATGTGTTTAATGAAAATTTGTAGAAATCATCATTTTTTTTTCTGGATAACTCATTTTCCCAGAGAAATAATAGCACCAAAATAACTGTTGTTAAATATTCATTGAGTTATAGAAGTAACTTGAGGGTTTAAATACTTCTCTGATTTAATCCTTAAAACACTGATATTCCTATAATTATCCTCCTATTGAGGATAAAGATACACAATTATAGTTACCAGTAGACGCTTGATATGCCAAAACAAAACATGTAACCATTATGCTAAAAGGCTTTGAAAAGAAATTGGGACCAAAGAGTCTGTTACTATGCATTCATCAAACAATAAAATCATACGAAATAAATGATTTCACCAGCTCATCTTCCCACAGGAGAATAAATTAGTTTATATCAGAGCCCAATAAAAGATACAGCACCTTCAGCACCAAGTTAATGATATTTAGGTTTCATAAACTAGCCTTTGCAGATACCAATGATTGGATCTTCCCACGGTGAGGAATAATAGCAAAGCTTGAAATTTAACTTAATGGATGGGATAAGCTGCCTCATTTGAACTTCTCCTGTATTTGGAAAGCAATACTTGAGCAGGAGCATGGCTGACATATAAGTCAGGTCATTTTGAAAGATGCCCTCCAGCCTGTGCGGGAGGAGAACTTTAGAAAGTGAAGTCACAAGTAGAATAAGGAAGTTTGCATCATCAGACAGCATAGAGAACTTTGCATCTGAAGATGAGATGCAGACATCACTGTGTACTTCCAGGAGAACCAGGAGTCTTAAAAGATATTGTGACAATACAATGATCTTGACATATCATACATTTGATTCAAATGGAGTATGAATT